CTAAGAGAAATTAAGCCCATGTCTGATTGCTCTCTAATTAGAATTAGTACTCTTTGCTTTTGTTCTTTAACTTTGAACATCCGTGTGGCTTTAATTGTTTAAGTACATTTACATGGTTAATTTACATAATCTACTCATGTTGACAATGGGTTGATGTAGCATGTGGTTTTTGAGGATAACAAGTGAAATGAGAAAACAAACTGGTGGAGTGAAAAATAGGAAAGCCTAGTGATTAAGATATTTGAATGAATCACACTCCAGTTTTGTGCCTTTGCTTATTTCAGCTTATTAATTTCGACACATCCTAAGACTTAGAAGGACTTTATGTTTTATGACTTAAATAAAACCAATTATTATTAATGTTAAAAATTCCACTGATAAACCTTTAATAATTTTGTCTTCTCCAGGGACAAATAGTCAAGAAAAATATAGGCAGTAACTTAGAGCTCAACTAAATGTTAGGAGTTTCTTTTTATGGGGAAGGATTGTATTTAAACTTGCTTTATAATCCAATACTGGGCTAGGCACATATATTGATTATATATATTTATGAGTGAAGATCTTAATGAAAATACACTAATATTAAAGTAATTTCCCAATATTTAATAATCATGAATGAAAAATATTCTACTTTAATATATTCACTTTATCTCCCCAATTCTCCAAAAAAAACCTCTGGAAACAGGCTTAAAGAAAAAACAATTTGCCTAAGGTCACTCTGATAGAATACGGCACAGTCTGGTTTCCACGTCTATTTTCTCACTCCAAACCCAAGAATCTATCTATTGTGCCTTACTGTCTTTAGATTTCTGATGCTGTTCTGTTAAAGATTGTATCCACTTCACAAAAATAGAGCCTGTACTGTAATGAAATCAGTATTTATCAGGCACACTAGAGCCTTGTTTCCTGGAATTTAGCAGTTGAACCTCTTGAAGTCTGAAAATGACTTATTTAGAAATACTAAAGGAGGAGGAATGGAAATTCACTTTTTCCATTTAGAATTCTCATGGCTGATCTCATCTCCATTCAGAGTGATGTGTCTCTCTGAATATTTTATTAGAGTTCTGTTGCAGCTGAGTTAAAGTTGTGCGCGCCCCACTGCCCTGAGCCAGTGATGGGATATGTCCCATAATTTTTGGCTGGTTGGCTGAGTGACCTAAAGCTTTCAGGATCGATGTGAGGAGTGCTAAGGAGGCTAAGACAGTGTGGAACACCTCAGCAGCCAGGAAATGAACCAGAAATTAAAAGGATATGAAATCTAATCTCTGAAGAAAATAAAGTGAGTCAGTGTGTGATTTTGTTGGCATGGATAACAGCAAGCTGAATCTATATATTTTTTTCTTTTGTCTGTAGTGGTAGCACCGTTCATTATAAATCAATAATTTTATGATTTTTCCACCATTCTAAAATAACCTTTAGGCTTTACAGTATAGGCCTTGAACCCTAGTAATTGATTTTTCCCTTCAGCATACTTAGCTGAGGAATTGTAGATGTTTGAATATCAATCTTTTTTGAATTAACTGCTTTAATGTAGTTTTGTAGCCTCCTGGATCCATATATTCCTGAAGACTGAAATTCTCAAAGGAACTTGAAGTTATAGAAGAACATGACTCCAGTTTTTCTCCCTTAATTCATTTCTTAATCAACATCATCCCCTACATCTCCCTTGGCCCCACTACACACAAACACTCAGGGACAAGTAACGAGAATGGTATTGAAATGTCTATCTCCAGAGGAATTTGGAGACCATAATCTTAGTATCCAAACTGCAGTCTTACCAGTCTTTTTGACTTGTCTTTTTATTTGTGCTTTTAATTTTCTTGTTATTCTTGGTTCCAAGACTCACAATGCAGCTCTGAAGTATGTTTTATGGACTATCTTTGGATCTTTTATTCTATTCTGAGCTTGCTGTTTTTTGAGCTTCACCACCTTCTTGATGTATATTCTTTATTTCATGGATGTTTTTCCTAAGGCTTTGGTAGTTTTGTATAATGCTTTTTGTATATAATATATTTCTGTCTGATAAAAGGGCTAGTAGGGAAGTTGAAGTTCCTTTGACCATTATAACAGATATCTGCTGAGTATTTACTACGTGGCAAGTGTTATACTCTGTTTAATACTCATTTAATGATAGCTACCACCGTAAGAGTTAGGTAAGAATAGTATCATTTATAGGTCTTAATAAGTCACCCAAAGTCAACATGCAGATGTAAGGGAGAGTCAGGCTTTGGATCCATGTCTCTCTGACTCCAAAGATCATGATCTTTACTACCACAGTAACTTTTCTGTCATATTGTCTCTTATTGGGTACTGATGCCTATTTAGATTGGGACTCTGCCTTCAAATCATTGCAAAGAATATGTCCTTCTCACAATCAGAAAATGGCGTTCTTTCACAGCAAGTGAAAGGCTGTGTCACTTGCTCTTCTGTGTATGTAAGAGTTTACGCAGAGAGAGTGTTGATGGAGATTTCTTAGATAAGATTGTGCTCTGAACATGTGTGAGAAATCCACCAGTATTACTTCTGACTCCCTCTAGATGTTGGTTAACCTGCACAATCATTTATCTTAGACCTTTAGCTCACTAGAGTGAAAGCTAAATTTTCAAATAGCAGTTCTACTTATATATGAAGGAAATGCAATCTGGTCTTGCTTGAGGGTTTGATTTGGGGAAGAAAGATGACAAGAGGCTAATCAAGGTCTTTCTACTCATAATTTTCTAGTGCCCCTTCTGCAAGGTGTTTTCTCTGGCAAAATGAATGTCTCAACCCAAGGCAAATGGGGTGGTTTCTAGAAATAGTTTATTACTTTTCACAGATTCAGGCCTGAAATGCTTACATGGTGTTTAGCTACTATAGTAGGCAATAGGAGGTGAACTGAATGGAGATATGTGTGGATAACATTAAAAGAACCATTTTGATGTTTGGATAACAACTGAAAATATAGGATCCAGGAAACAGTCTTAAGATCAGGTCCATTTACATTAGAGCAATAAATATATATTTGCAGAATGAATAAAAGGAAAAGGTAAAATATGAGTTTAAGAACATTGGAGTCCACTGAATGGATTTATAGAAAGGAGATTGGAAGAAACTTTTTTTTAATAGTCATTTATTTTATTCAAGCCTTCAGAGAATGTGTTCTGCAATAAGGAAAGCATCAGGATGTAAGCGTAAATATGCTGGGGTTTTGGTCTTTTCCTGCAGGGTTTCTTGAGGCAAACCCCCCAAAAATTGTTTATTGAAAGCTAAAATGGCTCCATAATTTGTCATATTTCCATCCTATGAAATATTATACAGCTCTTTAAAAATAGCTTTATATTTCTTGGGAGAGATATATATGAAGTATTGTTACTTTATACATAGGTGATATATACCTTATATATATTCATACAGGTGAGAAAAGAAATTTTAGTGTGATTTTATATATTTGTGCACACTCATATACACATATATGTACATATATTTATTCTAAGGTAATTTATATATTTATGTGCTTTAATACATGTATATGTACACATATATATAATATCACTCTCTTTGCTAACATAACACAATCACATATATGTATGTACACATATAAATATTTGTATGAGAAAGATGAACTTAGAAGAGTGGGAATGAAGAGATAGGAAACCACTAACTTGTTCTGTGTATAACCTTGCTCTGTTTCGCTAGTTATGATAATACACATAGTTTTTAATGAAAGGAAATAAAAGTAAAATTTTACAGTAACAGCATACTTCTAGTTAAGAGATCACTGATGCTTGAGATTTGAATGGATTTCCTCTGTATCTTACGTCTGGAGAGCTTGAGTATTTCTCTAGTATTAAAAGGTCCTCCCGTCTGATGTAGCAATGGATCCATCCATGGCTGAGAAACTCCACCTTTTCAAGGCTCAGTGTTCTTATCTGGAATTTCAGATATGAAACAGATGTTTGGGAGATTTCATCTATTTCAGATACTCTATCTTTTTGTTCAAAAATAAAAATAAAATCTGTGAAGACAATGATGATGCCAAGGTGCAGCCTGGGTCTTTCGTCCTCACTCTCCCTTCCATCCAGCCCACTAATCCATCAGTCACCCACAAATTCAGCTTCAGGATAAACTCCCTGACCAGTCTCCTACCTCGTAGAGCTCTCTCTAAAGCCTCTCCCAAGTAAAAACTCTAGATCTGCTCCTAATTAGGACTTGCTGCACAGAAGAAATCAGTGTGCAATTAGGATCAAAATAAGTCCACATGAAGTTTAAAAGACACCATTTCTTTAAAATGCAAATACCCTTTGGGAAAGGTACATTTCAAGTCTTACTACTCCCTTGAAGTTTTTAAAATCTTTTCATTTAGAGCAAGATCTTGAGAAGGAAACACATGGGGGAGAAGAACATGGGTGCTGAGGGAATAGATTAACTACAGAGAGGAGAGAAAAGCTTCACGAGGTTAGTGTGAGGGTGACAGGTACTTTCAGAGCTTGTCAGAGGAAAGACTGTATTTGGGCTAACAGCCTTTGTGTGCTCCTTGGATTCTTTTTTTTTTTTTTTTTTTTTTTTTAACATTTATTTATTTTTGAGACAGAGAGAGACAGAGCACAAGCTGGGGAGGGTCAGAGAGAGAGGGAGACACAGAATCTGAAACAGGCTCCAGGCTCTGAGCTGTCATCACAGAGCCTGAGGCGGGGCTGGAACCCACGGACCACAAGATCATGACCTGAGCCGAAGTCGGATGCTTAACCGACTGAGCCACCCAGACACCCTGCTCCTTGGATTCTGTTTTTATCTCCTACCTCATATCAGATGCATCAGCAAATCCTGTCAGTTCTCTCTTCAAATATAACCGGAATCCAACCACTTTTTCACACCAACACTGCTCCCACCCTGAACCAAACCACTATCCTCCAGATTATTGCGAAAGGTATTCTAAAACAAGCTCTGGCTTTTGTCCTCATACAATCTGTTCTCCCAGTAGCCAGAAGGACTGTTTCAAAACCTAAACCAGATCAGATACTCCTCCTCTCAAAATCCCTTCTCTAGTGGCTTGCCATTTCTTTTTTTTTCTTTTTTAATTTTGTTTATTTATTTTGAGAGGGAGACAGTGTGAGTAGGAGAGGGGAAGAGAAAGAGGGAGACAGAATTATAAGCAAGGTCTGCAACATCAGCATGGAGTCAGATGCAAGGCTTGAACTCATGAAACTGAGAGATCTTGAGCTGAGACCAAGAACCAGATGCTTAACTGACTGAGCCACCATGCACCCCAGTTTCCCATTTCAAGGGAAGTCACCTACAGAAGATTCCCCACCTTGGCTGACATTGAACACAATCTGGTGAGCTTTAAGGTAATATTCATGTTGGGGTCTGATTCCCCCAAAATGTTGATTTTATTGATTTTGTGATTGGGGTATTGATACTTGCTAAAAAGTCCTCAAGTAATGCTAATGGGCATCCAGGGCTGTGAACCCCTGCAATCTGCTCTCACTTTCCCTTCTCCTTTCACCTCATTTATCTTCCAATCCCTGAATATATCTGGACACACAGGTCTTCTGGCTGTTTTTCAAACAGACCAAGCACACTCCCACCTCAGAGCCTTTGTGCTGGCCGATACTTCCTCCGGTGAGCCTCCTTTAGGTTTTAGTATGTCAAGCATCCTGCACAAGGATCTCTAGAAAATTATGACTCGAAGGACCTTGATTAGCCTCTTGTAATTTTTTCTTCTAAATAAAACTCTTCAAGCTAGACCAGATTGTATTTCCCTCATATATAAGATCTGTCATTTGATAATTTAGCCTTCACCCTGGTGAGCTGCTGAGGTTGAAATATACATGGTTGTGTTGCCAAACTGCTGGAAGGAATTGCAGCTGGTGCTGGTGTTTGTGGGGTATTTTGCACACAGGCCCAGAACACATTTTTATGTAGCAAAAATCCCCATGGTCACATGTATAGAACCTGTGTACATATACATAGGAAACGTACGTACACAAAAAGTTGGACCAGTTAACTCTAATATCTCTTCCAGAACAGATATTAGATGATTCTCTTGTTAAAAATTAATGTGAACACAGAATTATAAATATTAATTATTTGAAAACAGAATCAAGGACAGCTTGAAGGGGTTTAGCCCCTCTGTTCCCCATAGTCCATTAGCCACCTTCAAATGATGCTAAATAACCACACAGGTTAAGTAAAAGCAATGGTCTTGCTGGACATTGAAAGTTCACAGCACCCTGGCCTTACCTTTCAGAACACATTGCTGCCTCTGGAGTGTCCCCTATGTAGAAGTCCCAATCTGTACCTTCTGGGTAAGCTTTTGGGACACACTTTGTTGAGTAAATTCATTGTATTTAGGGTTGTGTGATCGATTCATGTGGTTGAAAGAAACCTTGTCTTTTTTATTTTTTATTTTATTTTAAAAATTATGTTAAATTTATTTATTTTGATAGAGAGAAAGAGAGTATGTATGTGCAAGTGGGGAAGGGGCAGAGAGAGAATCCTAAGCAGGCTTCCTGCTGTCAGTGCAGAGCCCAGTATGGGGCTCAAACTCACAAATTGTGAAATCATGACTTGAGCCAAAATCAAGTAAGACACTTAACCTACTGATCCACTCAGATGCCCCAAATATTGTCTTTTTAAAATGCCCTTTAGAAAATGTACACTTTAGGCTTGGTTATGTGTATTTTAGCATATGATGTTTATAAGAAGGCTAGGTATTTAATGGGAGCTCATGAATATTTGAAGAATGAGTCAGTTGATAGGTTAATTGATTGTTTTCTGTGTGACTCATGTTCCCATTCTTAGAGAGACTTGGTCTGGGGTTATCTTAAGTTACTTGCAAGAAGGCATGAGAAGAGGAGCTGACCCTAGTAGTGGGATTTGAAGAGATTGCCACATGACCATAGATAGGAAAGAGCATTTGCTGATGATGTGGAGAATTCATCTGTGTCAAGGGCAGCTGAGAAAGCTCCAGCTTTGTGTATGTGGGTGAGTTTGTGTGTGGGTGTTCTCAGAATACACACACACACACACACACACACACACACACTCACTCACTTTCAAACAGTTGACAAACCTGGGGAGGACCAATACTAACTCACAAGAGTATCAGTCAAGTGACGTGTTTTTTGAACCAACTGTCTTCCAGCGGTTCCAATTTATCCTGGGGGTGGAGAAGTAGAAGCACAAAATGGAAAAAGAGAGAAACCATTTGCCCTTCTCCAACTGTGTTTTCTTCTTCCAGCCTTTTGCCCTGAGAAAGGTGATGGTTTGGCTTTATTTTGTTTGGACTTTTGATTTACAACATAATTAAATGCTTTATTGTTTTTATTGTTGTTGTTGTTTGGCAATTTAAGGTGACTCTAGAACTTTTTATTACTTATGAATGCCCAGAAAAAAATAGTGAAGACTGTTCAATTTTCATCTGGAGGCAATGCAAACATAGCTCAAAAGAATACATGAAGAGACTGTTAGAGATAAAAATGAAGTTGTTTATAGTTCTATTCCATGAGTCATTCTTGTTACATGTTGTCTACTTCACAACTCAGCTCTGATTAGTATGATATTGATGTTCATGTTAGCCTGAACGTATTTCTGTAACAAGTCAAGCACACTTTTAGTTGATGCTGAAATTTCTCACAAACTTTATTTTTAAATGGAATTATCAGACTAGGTTAATTTCTTTAGTAAAAGGAGAGCCTGTCAAGGAAGTCTTTCCTGTCAAAGAATTGGAGTAAATCAAATTTGTATTACTGGAAGAGTTCTACTGGTACCAGGTCAAAGCTTGCTTTGAAACCTCTGAGTCACACAAAGAATACCTCATGCCAATTGGGTCTGTGGAAATTACCAGTTAAGGTACTAAGAAACTTTTTTTTTTTAATTCTGTTTTTCTGGTGTATGTCTCCTGGAGACAGATGGATTCTTTATTTTCTTTTAATTCCTACTTTTAGTTGTACAACATAGCGATTTAACAATTCTATACATTACTCTCTGTTCATCATGACAAATATACTCCTAATCCCCTTCACCTATTTCACCCATCACCCCACCCATCTCCCCTCTGATAACTATCAGTGTGTTCTTTTTAGTTAAGAGTCTGTTTTTTGGTTTCTCTCTTTTTCTCTGTGTTCATTTGTTTTCTTTCTTAAGTTTACATATGAGTGAAATCATATGGTATTTGTCTTTCTCTAATTTACTTACTATTATGCCCTCTAGATCCATCTATGTTGTTGCTAATGTCAAGATTTTATTCTTTTTTATGGCTAATATTCCATTGTGTATATATACCACATCTTTATCCACTCATCCTTCAATGGACATTTGGGTTGCTTCCATAATTTGGCTATTGTAAATAATGCTGCAATAAACATAGGGGCACATATATCCTTTCAAATTAGTGTTTTAATATTCTTTTTTAATTTTTTAAAAAATGTTTATTTTTGAGAGACAGAGAGAGCATGAGTGGAGGGGGTGTTGGAGTGGGGAAGGGCAGAGAGAGAGGGAGACACAGAATCTAAAGCCGGCTCTGAGTTCTGGGCTGTCAGCACAGAGCCCAATGCAGGGCTCAGACTTGTGAACTGTGAGATCATGACCTCAGCCGAAGTCAGATGCTTAACTGACTGAGCCACCCAGGCACCCCAGTGTTTTCATATTCTTTAGGTAAGTACTCAGTAGTGTTATTACTGGATCATAGGGTAGTTCTATTTCTAATTTTGTAAGGAACTTCCATACTGTTTTCCACAATGGTTGCTCTAGTTTGCATTCCCACCAACAATGCACAAGGGTTCCTTTTTCTTCACATCCTCATCAACACTTATTTCTTGATTTTAGCCATTCTGGCAGGTGTGGGGTAACATCTCCTCTGGTTTTGATTTGCATTTCCCTGATGGGTGATGTTGAACATCATTTCATGTGTCTATTAGCCATGTGTATGTCTCCTTTGGAAAAATGTCTCTTCATGTCTTCTGCCCATTTTTAAAGACTTATTTATTTATTTTTGAGAGAGAGAGAGAAAGAGAGAGAGAGAGAGAGAGAGAGAGAGAGAATCCCAAGAAGCCTCTGCACTGTCAACACAGAGCCCAATGCAGGGCTTGAACTCACAAACCATGAGATCATGACCTGAGCTGAAACCAAGAGTTGGACACTTAACTGAGTCACCCAGGTTCCCCTCTTCTGCCCACTTTTTAATTGGATTATTATTTGTGTGTGTGTGTGTGTGTGTGTGTGTGTGTGTGTGTGTGTGTTCAATTCTCTAAGGCCTTTATATATTTAAGATACTAACCCTTTAACGCCATTTCCAAATATCTTCTCCAATTCTGTAGTTTGTCTTTTAGTTTTGTTGATTGTTTCCTTTACTGTGCAGAAGTTTTTGTTTTGATTTAGTCCCAATAGTTTATTTTTGCAGTATTTCCCATGCCTCAGAAGACATATCTAGAAACATGTTGCTATGGCTGCTGTGAGAGAAATTACTCCCTGTGGTCTCTTCTAGGGTTTTTATGGCTTCAGGTCTCACATTTAGGTCTTTAATCCAGTTTGAGTTTATTTTTGTTTATGGTGTAAGAACGTGGTCCAGTTTCATCCTTTTATGTGTAGCTATCCACTTTTCCCAACATCATTTGTTGAAGAGACTTTCTTGTCCCCATTGCATATTCTTGCCTCCTTTGTGGAAGATTAACTGATCCATATCTAATTGTGGGTTTACTTCTGGGCTCTTTGTCCTGTTTATTGATCTTTGTGTCTGTTTTGTGCCAGTACCACACTGTTTTGATTACTGCAGGTTTGTAGTATATTTTGATATCTGAAATTGTCATCCCTCCAGTTTTCATTCTTTTCAAGATTGCTTTGACTATTAAGTGTCTTTTGTGGTTCCATACAAATTTAATATTATTGTAATTCCGTTAAAAATTGCTATTGGTATTTTGATAGGAATTGTATTAAATCTTACTTTGAGTAGTGTAGACATTTTAACAATATTTGTTCTTCTAATCCATGAACATGGAATATCTTTCCATTTGTGTCATCTTCAATTTCTTTCACCAATTTCTTTATTGGTCTTTTACCTCCTTGGTTAAGTTTATTCCTAGGTTTTAAATTATTTTTGGTGCAGTCATAAACAGGATTTTCTTAATTTGAATAGAATGAATGAATGAATAGAAATGTCACAGTTTTCTATACATTGATTTTGTATCCTGTGACTTTACTGAAATTGATTTATCGGTTCTGGTATTTTTTTTTTTTTTGGTGGTCTTTAGGGTTTTCTATATATAATATCATGTCAAATTTGCATTCACATGCAAATAGTGAAAGTTTTACCTTACCAGTTTGGATGCCTTGTATTTCTCATCTGATT